TCAGAAACGGTGAGCCAAATTAATGACAAATAAATATCTCCTCCTTTAAGTTGCAGGTGTTAGGTATTTTGTCCCAGTGACAGGAAAGTGACTAGTATACTTGGGCAAATATTTATTACTTCAATAGAAAGTAAAAAGTATAAACGATACAAGAAAAATAAACAAGTGTTTATAAAAGGCAGATGAAGCTACTAAGTGAAATGCAAGCTCTATTCTGAGAGAAATATAGTTACAGAACATACCTATTTAAAGAACTTGTATATAGAATATTTGCAGAACTGTTACAAATCCTTACTAAAAACAAACAAAATAAAAATGGAAGAAAAAGACATGAATGGCAATTAAATAAAATAATTTCTAACATCATTGTGCATTAAAAAAGTGCAAAAGGAATGAATATACATCTGACAGAATGCTTAAAATTAAAAATCGTCACAATTTCAAGTTTAAGCAAAGATGTGGTGAGTTAACATGAAAAATAAAAACATAAATCTACAAATGCTTGTGACCTGTGATTTAATATTCATAGCAAAATTGCTCATAGCAGATCCATATTGGAAATGACTCAAATGCTTATCAAATAGTAAATCAACAAACAAGTTGTAGCATAACACACAATGGAATAAGATAAAGCAATTGAAATGAATGAACAACTGTTTTATGCAACAATGTGGATGAACTGCAAAAAATATTACACTAAGTGAAAAAGCCAATCCATGCCCTCCACCCCAAGACAATAAAGCCAACAAACAACAACATTATAGCGTAATTCTATTTCTATGAATTTGTAGAAATGACAAAGTCACAGTGTAGAAGGCAAAGCAGTAGTTGCGCGGTGGGTGAGGGGAAGTTGATTACAAAGAAGCACAAAGAATGGCTGCATGACTATAATCACTGTTGAAACTCATCACTTTAAACGAGTGAATTCTATTTTATTCCAATAATATTGCACTAAGAGCTGACAAAAACCCTGAGCTCTTCACCTTCCTGAACTTGTTCCTCTTCCTTGATTGTCGCTTTAGTACTAAATTGATATGTATCATTCAACACCTACTTTATTCCAAAGCACAATGATAGGGTCAACCTTTGGCCTGTTTCTTTCCTGACAAACCGATGAGCTCTTGTCATTTCAGGAGCCCTACAACATAGCCACTCATGGACTGGGTCTAGGCTCCTGGCCTCTCTCAGTAGTAGTAGCTAGTTCATGGGCAACTGAGGTTTTGTTCATAAAATCTTTTTCTACACTAATGTCTTCAAGAGTTCTACCTAACCTCTGTTCCAGATGGTTCAGTGTTTCTGTTTTAACCCAATTTTTCCAGCACCATTTATTAAAGAGGCTATCTGTCCTCCAGGGAGAATGTTTGGCTCCTTTGTCGAAGATGAGGTGGCTGAGTTTGTCTGGAGTTGTTTCTGTGTCTTCTAAACTGTTCCACTGGTCCTCAGGTCTGTTACTTTGTCAGTACCATGTTGTTTTTATCACAGTAGCTTCATAGTATAGTTGCAAGTTGGGTATTGTGATACCCCCTGCCATGTCTCTGTTGCCTAGGATTGCTTTTCCAATCCTAGGTCTCTTCTTGTTCCAAATGAATTTTTGGATTGTTTTCTCAAGGTCCATGAAGTATGCTGCTGGGATCTCAATTGGAAGGGCAATGAATCTATATAGCAGTTTTGGAAGTATGGCCATTTTCACTATGTTGATTCTTCCTATCCAGGAGCAAGGGATGTCTTTCCATTTTCTGATATCATCTTCAATCTCTCTTTTCAGAGTGCTATAGTTTTCAGAGCAGAGGTCTTTGATTTCTTTTGTTAGGTTGATTCCTAGGTATTTTAGTTTTTTGGATGCTACTGTAAAAGCAATTGTGTGCCCCATTTCTCTCCCAGTGAGTCTGTTGTTTGTGAACAGGAGAGCTATTGATTTTTGTGTGTTGACCTTGTATTCAACTACTTTACTGAATTTGGCTATTAAGTCTAGAAGACTTTTGCTGCGTTCTTGAGGTCTTCTATATAGAGTATCATGTCATCTGCAAATAATGATAATTTGACTTCTTCATTTCCTATCTTTATTCCTTTTATTTCTTTCTCTTCTCTAACTGCTGTGGCGAATTTTTCCAAAGCTATATTGAACAGCAGTGGTGATAATGGACATCCTTGTCTTGTTCCTGATTTTATTGTGAAGGATTTCAGTATTTGACCATCTAGTATGATATTGGCTGTTGGCTTTTCATAGATGGCTTTTATCAGATTGAAGTAGAGGCTGTCTATTCCAATTTATTGTATGGTTTTACCTTAATTGCATGTTGGATTTGTCAAATGCTTTTTCTGCATCTATTGAGATGATCATATGGTTTTTGTCATTGGCTCTATTGATATAGTGTATTACATTGATTGATTTGCATATGTTGAACCATCCCTGCACCCCTGGGATGAGTCCCACTTGGTCAGGGTGTATGAACTTCTTGATGATCTTCTTCATTCTATTTGGCAGTATCTTATTAAGGATTTTTGCATCTATGTTCATTAGTGAGATTGGCCTATAGTTCTCTTTCTCAGTTGGGTCTTTCTCTGGGGATCAAGGTGATGCTTGCTTCCAGGAATGAATTCTGGAGTATTATTTCCCTTTCAATTTCATTGAAGAGTTTAAACAGTGGTGGCAGCAGTTCCCCTTTAAATGTCTTGTAGAATTCAGCAGTGAAGCCATCAGGGCCCAGGCTTTTCTTAGTTGGTGAGTTTTTAATTACGTTTTCAATTTCATTGATTGATACTGGTTTGTTTAGAATTTTTAGATCATCTTCACTCAAATTTGGTAATTCATACGTATCTAGGAATCTGTCCATTTCTTCTGTATTTTCCATCTTATTGGCGTATAGGTTCTCCAAGTAGGTATTGATGATCCTCTGCACTTCTGCTGGGTCCGTTGTAATTTCACCGTTTTCATTCCTAATTGCATAGATTTGGCCCTTTTCTTTCCGTTTTTGATTAGGTTGGCTAAGTGTTTGTCAATTTTGTCTATTCTTTCGAAGAACCAACTCTTGGCTTCATTGATTTTTCATATCATTTTCTTAGCCTTCATTGCATTGATTTCTGCTCTGATCTTTATAATTTCCTACCTTGCATGAGCTTTGGGTTTGTCCTACTCTTTTTTCCTAGAAGGTTGAGGCTCAGCATCAGGTTGTGTAATTGAGCTGGCTCTGTTTTCCTCATGTGAGTATTCACTGCTATGAATTTCCCTCATAAGACTGCTTTCTTTGTGTCCTATGGATTCCGATATGTTGTATTGTCATTGTCATTTAATTGTAGGAACTGTCTAATTTCTTCTTTAATTTCCTCTGTGACCCACTGGTTATTCAGAAGTGTGTTGTTCAATTTCCATGTGTTTATGAAATTTTTGATGTTTCTTTTGCTATTGAACTCCAATTTCATTGCACTATGGTCTGATAATATACAGGGGATAACTTCAATTCCTTTGCACTTATTTAAACATGTTCTATGAGTATGTGATCTATTTTAGAGAACAATCCATGTGCAGCTGAAAAGTATGTGTATTCTGATTTTGTGGGGTGGAACACTCTGTAAACATCTGTTAAGTTCATTTGTTGAAGAGTTTGATTGAGTTCTAATATTTTCATTGCTTACGTTTTGTCTCCCAGTGGTCTTCAATTCTCAGCAAGCCACCGAGCAGCCTTTTCTCTGCTGTTCACCAGTACACTTCCTGCGTTCAGAAAGGTGGCCTTCTGGATCACTGAGCTGACCTGTTGTCTGGGAGGGCTTCTGGCTGGGGCCTGTGCACACTTGGGATGGTATCTAGATGTGCCTCGGGCTAGGGCCTGCCCCTCTATGTAGCTGTTGTCTGGGAGTGCCTTTGTCTCTGGACTGTGCACCCCAGTTTCTGTTGTATGAGCAAGCTTCTGGCTAGGGTCTCGTGTACTCTTTGATTGTATTGGGGCAAACCCCTGGCTATTGCTTGTGCGCCTGTGCAGCTCTTTTTCAGGCAAGCCCTTGGCTTGGGTCCAGTGTGCCCCAGCCTCTGGGGTTGGGGCGGACTCCTGGCTGGGATCTGCTTTCAGCTGTGCCACTCTGATCCACACCACTCCTCCCCCAACTAAGGTGGTCTGGTGTGCCTTTATTGCAGATATTTTCTTCACTTTTCCAGTGGACTTCAATTTTCATCAAGGAGATTCAGAGAGGCCCTCTTTCTGTTGTTCATTTCTGCTCTCTTCTGGAGCTCAGAACAATGTCCTTTATGATCCCTGCAACTCTGCTGTGTGGATCCAGGTAATGGCTCGGCACAGCCATGGGGAGTCGGGGGTGTGTGCTGCTGGCCCCCGTGTGGCTCACCTCCTCAGCACTGGGGGGCTTTGCTCCTCAGTGCTCAGGGCCAGTGGTATGGTGTCTCGAGAGGCTCACCTCCTCAGCACTGGGGGGGCTCTGCTCCTCGGCACTTGGGATCTCAGTAGTATTTTTCTAACACACCTCAGATGTTACCTTCCCTGGTAACGCTAATACTAACATGAATCTGATCATGCCAGTTTCTATGATTTATCCACAGAAAAATGAGGAGTATTTTTCTAAGCTAACAGTTGTTAACAATATGACTTTTCAGGATTCTTTCATCTATATCCTAAAAACTAAAACATAGTCAATTTGGAGACAATTCCTTTTGATTTTTGGCAAATTCCTTTCATTTTTCATTTCCTTATTCTCTGATGTTGTATTTCATTATGGCTATCTAAATGTACTAGGTGATTCTCAGTTTTATTACATAATATTTAGTTCTTTTTTCCCCTCTCATTTTTAGTTTTCTTGGATATAGCAGAACAAACGTGTACTTACCTTATCTTTCTCCAAAGTAATATGGAAGAACTGATCAATGTCTACAATACATTCTGATAGTTCTATATTGATTTGAGGTATAATGCTGGATTTTGAAATGTCCAATTATAGAGCTATACTACAACAAAAATCTATACAAAATTATTAGATGAAAATTGCGATCCACTCACCTTACAACCAGTGACAATGCTGTGGCCCCAGGTGTTGGGTGCACACAAAGAGCACCTCTCTCCGATGGTGTTGGGGGGACAGATACACTGACCAGTTTGGGGTTCACAGTTATTACCCAGATGGGAACAGTCACAAGCTTCACAGGGGGAAGAGGGAAAACAAAGAAGGGTTAAATAGTTTTAAATTTAATAAATATTGAGCATTTTTATCATGATGATTTGTGGGGGTTTTTTCCATTTTCCATACTCATGTGTTTATGAATCAGCAGAGAGGAAAATACCTTAACTCATTCATCTTCTTATCTCGGTGCAGCACATTTCACAGAGAAGGTGTCCAATTAATATATGTTGCAATTCATTTAATAATTTAAAAATTAAAGCATTTTTCACTTTCCTACTGAGCTTGAGAGAGAACTGTTATTATCAGATTCTTTATTAACTTGAGTATCATATACCAGATAGTATAAAGTTTTAAAATTTTATATGTATATTTAAGTTCATTAATATTTTTCTGTGGTATAAGGATTAAGTTTTCTTTTCTGATAATGACACTGATTTTTAATAAAAACCAATAAGCTTAAGAGTCTTCTTAATTTAGTACATCAGGTGCATAGTTATTAATGACACCTGTTGGAATGTTGCTTGCAAATATTTAAAAATAGTTGAGTTATAGACACTGTCTGTATATAAAGATGCTTTTAACTTTTTTATCACCTGATTAATTTTTCAGTAGACATTTCATTTTCTTTACGGTGTGAATGACAAAGAGTAAAAGTTCCCTACCTATTGTATTTTGTCAAAAATGCAAAACATCTTTTGAGAAGACTGTGAAAGCCATCCTAAGAGGAGCACATAGCACTTCTTATCTATAGCGGACCCAGCTACTAAGAGTGCACTTTAGTGAAGCTTTTAATTGCAATTAAATGAAAGCCAGAGAAGAAACACCAAATACCGTACTTGAATTCAAACGTAAGACCAATGTTATGAGAACACTTTTAATCAGTTGTATGATGATTAAATCATTTAAAGCAAATACATTTAGGATCTTTGATTAAGTTCACTTTTTAAGAGATCACAGTTATCATTGCTTGAAGCATTTCATAGCAGCTGTGAAAAATATTTAGCTCAATACTTGACACAGAATAAATACTAAATGTCAGCTGTTATCATTTTTATTCCTGCTAATTTTAAGTAAGTAGATTTATTTTACATGTACCATTCATTAAGAAGAAATATAGTTAACATTATGTTTAAATTTATGTGCTAAAAATGTCTCGGGATAGCCTTAGTCATTATTTGCAAATAGAAATTCCCTAAGTAGATCTTTAGTGGAATCATAACACTGAATAGGAAGAACATCTGAGGAATTAGTTACTTTTCTCCTGCCAAAGCACAATGTTTATGGCAGTTAATAATACTAGTAAAGATAATAATGATGATAAACATGAAACTCTGGTATGTTAGGCATTACTCTAAGTATTTGTTGGCTATTAAGTCAACTGACTCTTACAACTCTATGATGTAGATACTGCTATTAACCTAATGTAATAGATAAATTTTTAGGAGAGAAAGTGAGACCATCTCACACAGTCAAGGTCATAAAACTAGGCATTGATGGGGCCACTACATAAATCCAGGCTGTTTAGTGCAAGTCATACTCTCAATCATAATGTTATCCTGCCCGATCTGCGCTTTTTCTATTCTGTTTCTCTAGCTTAAAAGGATATTAGGTTTGCATTTATAAAATGTCATCATTAGTTCAGAATTTTAGATAATATTCTTATAGATATATTTGAATATATAGTATATTAATTCATATTATGGAAGAATGTTAGTGAGGAAGTGACTTAAATAACAGTATATTTTAAAACAAAGCTTTGTGATCTTTTAGTGTATACAGATATTTGTTTAAAAATTACACACAGATTCATAGGAGATCTACAATTATCATATTCAGAATAACTTACAATGGCTAGTTTGTGAAAAGAATCATACATCTAAAGTACTGGAGAATGTCTAAAAGACACGGGTTCTTTAAATAATTTTAAATATTATTCCTATTGATTCTCACATAGATTTGCTATAGTCAATAATAATGTTTGAAAATCTTACCATGATGCTGAGAGTATAGTACAGAAGTATCATTAAGATTCAGTCAATGAGTTTAGTAAGCAAAGGTAAGAATCAATTCCATGAGTGTTGGGATAGGGTCAATGCTAAATTAGTGGCACACACATCAAAAGTAGTGCTCAGCTTCACTCGCATCTGTAGTGTGCTAATTGGTGTTTTCCTAGTCTGTTATTTGTGTGACGTCTCTGGCTAGACCTAGGCCCCTTCTTCAGAGACTCATGGTGAGAAATGCCAACCCACATTTTCCTATGAACTAAATATCCAGACCCAAACTGTTCCTCTCCCACATCATCACAGTTTTCAAGGCCACTAAAACGTAGATAAAAACATTTTTGTACTATAAAAAATAATTTTCCTTGATCACTAGAAAAAGAAAAAGTTGAAATGGCTTGGGAGTAGAGTACAAACTAAGAAAACACCTGGAAAAACAGAATATTTGACTTTCAAGCTGCACAGTCATTGAGTAACTGGCCAAACAAAGGCCACAGAGGGGGATGCACCAGAACTGGGATCTGCAGATAGAACTTTTGCTGCATACTCGCAAGCACAGTTTTTTGGCAGGCAGTTGCAAATGTGTTTTGTATCATATCTTTGTTGTCAATGTACACTTCCTTTAATTAAAGAGACTTTCATAGATGTCAAGTCACCAGAACCAAAGAATGAATACCCAGGACTCTGGTTTTATATACACACCTGTGCAGCCTCCTTCCTGGAAGTTGAAGTAGCCCTGGGCACAACGGTCACATTTCTTCCCTGTGACGCCAGGCTGACACCAACATTGTCCACTCTCTTCACAGTCGAATGATTTGGACCCAAAAGAGTTGCAGTTGCAGGGAACACAGCCCCTGGCTGATTGTAAGCCAAAGGTTTCAGGCTGGCACAGAACAGGCAAGACAAAAGTTAAATGTCAGTCAACGAACTCATAAAGAATCATGATGCACAGGACGGAGCGATCAGGCAGGTAAAGAGGAACCTTTGGATTACCAGCTTTCTTTACTCATTATGGCACTGTCATTTAACCAAGGTGCTGTTTTCTATGGTGTCCACAGTGAAAACTAACTACTTCACATACAAATTAGTAGAAGAACTAGGAGCATCTTTTTACCTATTTTCATCTTCTTTTCTCTGTATGCCTCAAGATTCTTACAGCACTGTGGAGTAAGCCATGAGTTGTATTTCTAGCATTAATTTAAATTTTCACTCACTTTATACCTAGTAATCAGAATTGATTACTTTCAGATCTTATAAACAACTTCAGCCTGGTAAAAATGCTTTCAACACTATTGACTGGTAGTCTAAAATTGAAGTAATATCTCCCCCCTAATATTTGATCTAATTTTGTCATTGATCCATAAATACTATTAGTCATTATAGTATGCACATTATAAATATAATTTATAGATTCTGCTTATGCTGATCAAATAACTGGCTTGACAAACATCTACTTTCTTGGATTTCATTCTAATACGTGAAATTGATTTGTGAAAACATATATTAAAGCACTAAATGAGAAAGGTTAAGGGAAATTTTCATCTTCTGATGAGTTATGCATGAGCACATGCCTTATCCATTTGAGCACATCATCCTCTATGGTGAAGTTCATATTACTAGCTTTGGCTGACTTTCTTTCAGTGCAGGCTATCGGCCTACAGTGATTATTTTAGAAAATGGTGATGGATTCAGAATTCTCTTTATTAGAAAAATGAAAAGCATATATCCTTCCTAAAGTACATCATAGCTGTCTGTTTAAATAGAAAGTATGTCACATTATTAGGATAAGTTAATCTGGGAAAATTAGTCTCAGTAATTACTTCTTTGTAAAAATAATTCCTATTTTGAAAAATTAAACCTAATAATTACTTCTTGGTAAAAATAAATCTTGCCACTGAATGTGAATCACCCAAAGAAAAATGAATAAGCCTTATTATGTATTTTTGCTGCTGCTGTTAGCAGTATTAAAAATAAATTTGAGAAATAAAAGTTAGACTTTTAAAATGACTAGCTAAGAATAGTTTTATTGTTTAAATGTAAAGTGGGTTGATTTTTTTGATACTCATTTTAATTTTTACATTTACTGTCAACTTTATTTTTCTTTCTAGTTATAATTCAGATCCATTATATTAAAGAAGAAAATTTATAGCAGTTCCAAATAAGTGACAGAAGTTTGAAAGTAAATTCACCTGTACAATGGAAAACTAAAAGATATAATGTTTTGCCCATAAAAAGAATTCAATGTAAAATTCTAGGTCAACGACCTGGAGAAATTATCAGGTATTGGAACTATGATTAAAGCAAAAGCATGGCCATTATGGGATTATTTATCATAATGTGTAACTGTAGAGACAATTAAATGTTCAATATTAGTGAAATAGCTAAATAAATTGTGATTCATTCATGCTGTAGGATGATAGGCAATCATGAAAATCTGCTTTGAAGTAGTTTTAATGATAGAAATGTGACTAATATAACATTAAGTAAAATTTCTAAAAAGCAGCATACGAAACTATACAGATGCTATGATTCCAATTATACGTCTATATTTACACAACACCACATGAAGAAACTCAAACAGACCATGCATACATAGTAAAAAGCTAGGACATAGCATATTAAAATAGTGTTTTGTTTTTTTGTTGTGGTAATGGGGATTGAAACTAAGACCTTTGCACTGAACTACATTCCCAGTCTCCCTACCCCTTTTTTTCTGTTTGATACAAGATCTTGCTAAGTTTCTAAATTGTTCAGGCTGAGATTTCACTTGCTATCTTCCTGCTTCAGCCTCTCAGAGTGCTGGTATTACAGGACCATATTATCAAGCCCAGCTAAAATCAGATTTATTTTTTAAAAAATCTGAATTGTAGAAGTAATATTTCACATTTGTCTTTATTTCCCAATTTTTACCTAGTAAGGTGAATTGTAAAGATTGTATTTTATAGTCATCATTATTTTCTAAATTTCCTGATTTAGCAAATATATAAGTATGTCTAAATACTTGTGTGTATCTGCATGTATATATGCACATATCCACACAAATGCATTTAATGGGTAAATCAATCAAATGTTAAGTGAATTTCTAGACCACAGTTATTATTGAAAAAGTTCCAAAGATGATAATGTAAGGAAATGTATAAGAAATGTCTCTACCATAATTTTCAAATACATATATAATGTAGTTTTAGAGGCAAGTTACACCAAAGTAAAAAACTATCACACCTTACTAATAAAACATCAATACATTTGGGATTCAAAAATCTACTTCAAGAGCTGAGGAAAATCTCCCTGATGAAGACATTTAAGGAACGAGCACTCCTAGTCAATAATTAAGAATAATGATGTAGCACCAATAGGAGAATGAGTGTCAGTCCAGTCCTAAGTCAAAGTTGGATGGGTTCTGTAACTTCTTCCTCGCTGAGATCATAACAAGATCTAGCACTTACACGTTATTTCCTATGTGTACACTTCCAAAGCCACTTCCAAAAATGGATTCATTTCCTTCTCAGGAAAGTTCTGGCAGACAGTTACTGTCACTACTTTGCAGAGTGACGGAACTGAGGCACAGAAAGGTTAAGTAAGGGGTCCGAAGTTACCATTTAGCCAACTGTGAAGCCAGAACTGCACATTGGGCAGCCTGACTTCAGAGCCTGCGGTCTTCACCCCAACACACACTGCAGCAGTGGAATGAGTCTCAGAACAAAACACTACTGTGAGCTATGTCAGGAAGGGGCATGAACAGGAGCTGCTTTTTATGCTGATTTTCATTTCGGAGATATTTGCATCAGTTACGATCCCTGTATTTTGTTTTAAATCAATTTGTTTGCTCTGGAAAAAAGAACTAATGTTATCTATTTTTCCATTTAGTAATGGTATTCATGATAATAGCAATGACACCTAACTCTTACTTTGACCAGTCCCTGCTGGTATCTCACCGACTGCTCTCACTACCACCCCACACAGCCTTGGAGGTTACTCAACCATTTTCCTGCTAGAGACTCTGCAGTGTGGACTGTCCATGTCCCACACATCCCAGCCCCCAGCCTCTTGGATCCACTAAAGAACTCTGCAAAGGACTGTATGTTTATGCCCTCCCCACGCCAGTTTCATAGACTGAAATTCTAACTTCCATGGTGATGGTGTCACGAGGTCCTAGCCTTTTGGATATGACTGGGTCATAGGGCAGAACCCTCCTGAGGGAGACTGGTGACCTTTTAAACAAGCCACAAAGAGATTTTGCCACTATATGAAGTGAGAAGATGACCGTCTAGGGGAAGCTGGCTGTGGCCAGATGGGAGACTGCCAGCATCTCTGCTGTTTATAAGCCACTCAATGGACTGCTAATCTGATTGAGCATCCTGACTCCCTCCAGGCTCCCTCTAGACTCTCCCAGTCAGGGCTGATTACAGCAATCCTAGACCTTCCTGCCATATTCAGGACTCCTCTAATGGGCAAATTTTGTTTGGGTACTTCCCATTGCTCTGGTCAAAAATGTGGGGGTTTTGATAGAATGCACCCAATGAACCTTTTCCTAACCAATCTTTCCTCCCCTTTCTTCTCTCTGGAGTTAGAACTGCATGGCAGTAGGAGGTTCCCAGCATTCTCTGCTCTCTCCCCATTCATCAACCACAGATGTCTTTCCCAAATCTCTTGGCATTGGCTTTTTTGGGGGACGGAAGCAGACAAAAACTTTATGGAATCAGAAGATTCAAGAAATTAGGGGAAGATTCAAGAACTTCCACCCAGGAAGTAGTAGTGCCAGGGTTTGATCTGAACAGTCTGTTATCAGAACTGTTTTTTCTTCAAAGCTGCAATAATGTACCAAGGAATAAGATCATGACTTTCTTCATCCCCTTTGGTCTGTCCTTCTGACCACTACGCTGCACTGTCTACAGTCATCCAGGGTGAATCCAGGGTGGCAAATCTGGCCTGTAAACTCGGAACGCACCCAGGAGCAGGGGCTCTTCCTCCTGCTTTCCCTTCTATCCTTGCATTTGCTTGGTTTGCCTAATGGGATGGAGACTAAATTTTTATAATTAAAAACAACTTTCCTTATTTTGCATATGTTGTGTGGTTACAGTACGTGAAGCTCTGCTTTTTTGTGTTGGATGTATACAGGAGCAAAACTATGATGTGGAAATGAAACTCCTTAATTGTGATGAAACGTCAGACAAATGCTGTGATATTCTTGGAGAAATCACTTTCTTTGTTACACTTCTTTTCATTTGTTCACACATAAACCAAGCGTTCCCCAAATGATACTTGATGTCCTTTCAAAAAAATGTTTTCTTGATTTTTACACATCCATGGTTAATGGAAACTTTTATGAACTAAGCACACTTTTAAAAGCACTAGGAGAGTTAGTTCTGCAAAGGCAAGCTTCAATCGGGAATTGTCTATGTTCGCGTCTGTGGTTCGCACACTTAGCAATTGTTATTGGTAACGCGCCATCAGGGAACGCCAGCTGCAGCAGGCAGGACGCAGCATGCAGGCTCCAGCATGCAGCGCCTCTGGGATTACCGAGGCCGGGGCCCGGTAGGCTCCCCGAGGGCACCCGCTGGAGGTGCCGGAACCCCACCTCCAGGGGGACCCCAGCACCCTTTGCGCTCTCCGCGGCTGCTCCTCCTGTCGGTGCACCTGCTGGGCGAGCTGGCATCTTTTCCCTACAAAGCCCGATGCACAGATACATCCTCCTGTTGTGTCACACTGCTGCGACACCGAGCCCGGGGGACTGCAGTCACAGGGCACACAGAGTTGCTTCGCCGGGTGCCACCACATATTGGGCTTTAAACCCAACAGAAGAATAAAATGAAAAGAAAACAAAAGAAGAGCATATGGTGTTATTCAAGAGATAGAAGCAGATGATATTTTCAAATTTCCTGCTGAAAGGCCAGTTTGACATCTGAGAATTGCTTGCTCCTGCTTGTGCGTCTTTATCACCAATGATGTATTTATGTGAAAGGTCTCTCCAAATCCACCCGTTCTCAGGAAGCAACCTCATCAGGCTGGTCCTTCGAGGGCAGGGCAGTCAGTACATTCAAGGGCTGAGAACAACATCGTTTAATTGAATATTTCATTTCAGCAAATGCTGCACCTAAAAAGATATTGATTAGCTTCTCTGCAGTAAACTTTTGCTAATAGAGTGCTCACTGGAAGGAACTTTTAATGGAGAAAATAGAAAATGATATTTGCTAAGAGCAAAGAGACTCACACATTTTATTCTGCCCAATATGTAAAGGTGAAGACTATTCTACTCTCCAGTGACCAGGATTAAATTTGTAAGCTATTTTTGACAGACACATCTGAATTATAGGAAATATTTACCAATTCTCTGCCAAAGAAATGTAGGTTTCAGGCCAACTGCAATTGTAAGAGTATTGAGACATATTTCATTCCACAGCCATTTTTTTCTGTAGAATTAGATAACTGTGAACCCCTCTTTTAGTGACCATTGAAAGCCAAGGATTTGGGAGCAAGCAATCCACTGGCCTGTTCCTCCTTACCTTGCACCGGTCACACCTCTGGCCCTGCACGTTGGGTCTGCATTCACACTGTCCAGTGCGACGGTGGCAGATCTCCGAGGAGGAGCCATTGGCGTCACAGCGACAGGCTGAGAAAAGGAGAGACAGAGCTGCAGCTAGAAGGGAATTTCTAATATGGGCTTAATATCCCTTATCTGCAATGTCTGGGACCAGAAATGTAGATTGGGGAATATTTAAAGGGCTTTGCTGGTTGAGCATCTTTAATTGAAAAATCCAAAATTGCAAATGCTCTTGGTTTTCATGGGTTTATTAAATAAAAATATTGCCCAGATGGTCACTCTGACACCTAAATTCAGAAATAGAGTATTTTCTACCTTGTCAAATGCTCTTTTGGGCATTCTATCACTTAAGGGATAGAACAGCCCTACCATTTGTCCATTTGTGGAGGTAATGCATTGAGCACACGGCTTGGCACATAATTGCTATAAAATATAACACCATCAACATTACTTCAAATCTCGAAAATGAAGATGCTGAAATTCAAAGAAACCATGACATGCACAAGGCCATGTGCTTACTGGGTGACAGGGCCAAGGCGCAGGGACCAGACTGGGACATGGAGTTCCTGGACTCCATCTATAAGACATGTGGGGGTAACATTTAAAATATTACAGTACCATTGTAATGAATGCATTCTGACTCAAAGAGCAAAAATAATTTTGATAAATTATCAAAATTAATAGCACTCAGGCCATAAGATCAACGGCATTATCAATCAAGCAACATTTTATTGGTTTTTTTCAATATAAGGATCATTTAGTAACTATGTGCTAGTGTGTGCTAAGTTTCAGAAATAAGTGTAAGGTGAAATGAATATAAATCCCTTTAAGATTAGAAAAGTATATAAAATAACAAGAACATTGCTTTACATCCATTTGGAACATAACATTATAATTTTGAAAAATCACTTTTATCTTACAATTTATATACCATCTTCAAAGATAGAAAATATACTCGATTTAAGTACTTTTCTGTCATTTTTGTGTTATAAAGTTGTCCAATCTTATTCTGAAACATATAATAAATCAGTCTAAAACCTAAGTAGTCTTTTCATAAATAGAGCAGTAATTAATGGCTTTCTCTGTGTTTTACAAGTGCATTTTTAATGGTACATATAATTGCATTGATACCAGAATAAAATCATGAGGAGGAGATGACATGGGAATTTAGACTATTCAAAGACGGATTTGGTAAATGTTGTACATTATATCTGACTGCTTGGAACAAAATGCATGAATACATTATAAATAGCTACTCTGTCGGCACACGCTATTAGTCTGTTCACCTGGCTTCAAGTTCTCCTTCTCTCTAATGCTTATCTGAAAATTACTTGATTTTCTGCTAGTGAAGTTTGGCCTTCCACAGCGGCTGACTTGATGCTAGTACAGCAGGTACCAAGACAGGGATCAACCAGAAGCTGGTCATTTTCATCAAACAATAGCACAAGGACAGTCTACAGTGGAAATGGAAGAGAAGGCTGAAAAGCTTATTTTCTTTAAATATCCACTTTTATTTGGATACTAGATTGCTGTGCATACTATTAATTTCTTTATGTGAATTTCTTCTGTATGTTACACACACATATTTAAAATCTCAAATTACTTGGAATCCAGATGTCCTTTTTTCTTAAAGACGACACACTTAAATTTCCATAAATATAATGGTGATTAATTAATGTTTTTTATAAGTCACAAAAGCAATATAGAATTTTATGAAAGTGGTATTTTTAGTAGCAAAGTATGATGTGACATTATACATAAATTTAAAAAGCAAAATATGTTTTTGTGTAGGGATGAACTTTTCGTGAACAAATCTAGATGCTTTTTCACAAAATTTTCTTTATTTGAGGCTTACCATTACTTGTGGGATCACTATTATATCCATGAAAAATTATAAAAATAGATTACAGATTATGAAAATGGATTACACATTATATTTTCATCATAATTACATGCTGAAGAGTATTAAAATCATAACCACAGCTATACCACATGGCAAGTGATATGAAAATTGGTAATGGCTCATCTTTTTTTTTTTCTATGTTCTAAGACTTTGAGCCACAAATCACTAGTCCATAACAAAATGAATGGAACATGTCTTCAATTTTGTAAAGGGAATTATTGGAAGACAGAAAAAGAGGTCATTAAATGATTAACCTTGACCTGAAATTAGTGAGCCACTGATGTTCAGCTGCTACAAGCATTACTTATTACCAAATGAGGACCATGCTTGGCATGTCCATGGGCCAGGAACTCACTGGATACCATCTATGTGCTACATGCTTTAATCTCCCACAGCAAATTCATGACCCTTATTGTAGATGGGGAAAACGAGTCTCACCGAGCTCAAATTCTTCACTGGGGTGACACAGCAACAGAGTACAGACCCTGGATGATCTGCTTGAACAGTAGAATGTCTTAATCTCCCTACACTATTACACGAATGCCAGAAATCTATGGTGTTTAAAGTCACTCTGAGCCGGGTGGAAATTTTGCTTTAAAAAAAATCAGTTCGCAGGTGATATGAATAGATGTCAGTTGTTTCCAAGAGTGATTTACTTCTGATTTAACACATTATCATTTTTATAGGAAAAAAATCTAACACTCATTTCAATCCTTGAGGAGAGGAACATGTGTACTTCTGAAATGGGGTGCCTTATGGGTCTTTGGTGTTTAAAGCAGAGATTACAGACTATGCTGTCCATGGTTTCCAAAGGTCTCCAGGTCTGGGGGACGAGCTGAGTGGATGAAGTGTCTCTTCTTACACAATAAATTTAGCTGAGATGGACAGTCAGGCTGCTCCTACATCCTGCACTCCCTAAAGGTTATGTAGCAGATGAAGCTAGCAATGGCCATGTCTCAAGTACTGATGTGGATTTGTATTCTATTTGACTTTCTCCTATTTGACCAAGTCTCCTTTGCATATTCTATTACTACTATTTTAAAGCATTTGTTAATTCTGTACATCACTGGATGATACAGCTAAGGAGAAAAGATGAGGAGAGGAAGACACTGTACTGAAATGGATGAAGAGCTAGAGTAACTGATTTCATGGAAAAGAGACACAGAAATACCACTGGGTGAATACTCCCAAACTGAAAACTGAAAATTAATCACTCGACAATTACTACGCCAGTGAGGGATAATATTGGTAGAGTTGGACACCTATTGTAAAATGCAAGACTGTAAAGTTCACATATAAAAGCATAACCTATTAACCTACTGAAATGTACTACTGAAATAATAAGGTGGATATGTTTATTTCAAACAAATGATTAGAATTGAAATTAAAAGGATAAAAAGCTTACCTAATTTATAAATTCATCTTTCCTGCTATGGATATAAACCTATTTTCAATTTTTCTTTCCACACGTGAACAGAAATATTTGCATCATTTAAAAAACACCACTTCGGTGAGGCAGCAACTTGCAATGGCTTCACTATTAGTCAGCACAAAGACTTACTTTGGGATATGCAGGCTCTGCCTGAGCTGTGCCCCTATGACCCATGTATTACAAACAATCTCCTCATCTCCAATCCCACTCAAGAGCTCATAAGCTACTTTGGGGTATAATATATCAATTCTGTCAGGGGCATCACTAGTTCAGGACTTACGCTGACAGTTCTTGGCATCAACTGCATCTCCGAAATAGCCATCCGCACAGAGCTCACAGTACCGGCCTGTTGTACCTGGCTTACATATCAGACAGGAGCCAGATAGGCTGTTACAGCTGCCGGGGATGGAGAAGTCAAGGTTGTCATTGCACTGACAGGGCTGACATGATCCTCCAGGTACAGCAGGGTGTCCAAAATAGCCTTCTGTACACCTATGGTGAGAAATTTCACCAGTGAGAAATTGGGGGGAAACCCACGAAATCCATCCAAGGCAATGTTTATAGATTTTTCATACTACTTGTCTTCCAGGACGATAGCTTTTCCTTTTAAGTGTTCCTTGTCTCAAGTGCAAGGTGATTAAAAATATTTTTCTATGCGGCAGTGTAGATACAAGATGAAATCCTGCCAGCTCCACTAGTAATTAGATTTCAGCCAGACCAAAAATGAAAAAAAAAAATCTTGTCATTGGCACTGAAGATGAGAACAAGGCATAATAAGAAATCTGCTGCTAGCATTCTGAAGGAATCCAGCTCCCGGTTGCAAAGCCTTTGTAGTAAAACATATCATGTGTCTCTACTCCAATTGGTTGTTTTCTGTACAAATATGCACAGTTCACATTTTTTATTGTTTTTGCAGCAAGAGCTTGTTAGGAAGAAACAGGTTCACAAGGAAATTCAGTAGTAAGAGTTCAGAATTAAATGGAAATTGTGACTCAAGATTGTTATTGTTATTTGTTTGGGGGCTGTGGGTATCTCTGAATTAATATTTGGTTTGCATGTATTTGTGTATGGATTCAGTGGCAGATATTCAACGGAGAGTCTTTATTAACAGGAAGTCTAAATAGTTGTGCTTGCCTATTATAATACAATATCATAAGGTAATGCTAAATTGTGCTCTCAATTTATATTAGCAAACAACAAGTCTCTTTTTTTAACCAACGAAAACTATTTTTACATGTTGTATTATTTATAAAGCATGGCACAGATTTTTAAAAATTATAGTATCAAATTTTCTTTGATCTAAATGTTGTTTTAAAATGTTTCTTAATGTTATAGATTCACAGATAAATCCTTATCAGTAGAACTTGTTTACATTCTGTTCTGTCATTTCTTTCAGTTACATTCCCATAGGCTTCATATTAAGACACATCTGCAAAAGGAGAGATAACACAGGGCATCTGGTTTGTGGTCAGGCTGGCTCTATGTCATTTTATCAAAACAAACTCTTGCAGCAAGGGTCAAAATTGAAAGAAAACAAAAATAATGCAGGAGAATATAATTACCTCTATACAATATTTAAGATAATCTGCTCACAGATAGGGAAGATATTTTTTAGAGAAAGGCTCTCTGCCACTTGAAGTAGAAATGGTTTAAATCCAGTATGCCATGTTGAGGATACATTAATAACACTACAATTATGGTACTAAGTCAGTCATTTAGTAAGATACATGGTTTAGCCTAAGTTTTCCAGAAAATTTATAGGTCTTAATAATCTAAAAGATTTAATGTATCATAATTTTTAAATGAGATTAATAGCTTTAATTATATTCACAAAATGGTTTGTAAAATTGTGAACATTGTATAAACATAGCTTAAAAGAATATTGCTTCCCACAAATATAATTATGGATCAGTTCTGTTGTGAAATACAGAATAACAATTTAGAGCATAAAATCTCCTGCAATCCCTTCAGGAGGATAATGTAATAAAATAATAAGTTCCTTTTGAATTTTAACCTCATTCTTCTTGCCTCATTTGATATTCAGAGCTTACAATTACATCCATATATATTCATATCTCATTTTGTTTATCTCTAAAACAGTGACTTCACTTCTTTTAGAATAAGGATGTACAGGGATCATTATCATAGTCAACAAACACCTATTATTTTCCATTCCTATTTTTCAAAATGACTTAGTGCCCTCAGGAGAGATGGCATTATATAAAAAGATCTGTGAATTTTTCTTAACACAGATACCAATTAATAAGTCCAAAATTCTCCTATAACAACTAAAACTCAGTCCATAGAGAAAATTCTGTAATTAAGTAAAATAAAAAAGAAGTGTCTTTCATTTTTATTACAGGACATGTAAGGAAAATGTGTGGATACTCATGATAGAAAATTCCTACGGCACTTCATTAACACAGGACCAGTTTCTGGGGGTCATTTTGTTCCATCACAGATGTACATGTGTGCACGTTCTTGTGTAGAGTAGCATTTATTGAGACTTATAAAATGTCTCATTGGGAATTGAAAGTAATTTCAGGGTCAGGAAAGGTAATGCAGCTAATCATATAATTTTATTAATAATAATAGCATTATATAGTCTGTCCAATTTAGATTCATCTAATTAAAATTAGTTAAAATTACAGCCCTCTGGACCTTTCCAGCTTCTTAGATTTTTCTCTCTATCAAAACTAATTGCAATGTGAGATCTCGAGCCCTCTCACTCATGTTCAGTTCTAAAACATATTTTGTTAAATTCACATAAAAATTGTTTATTGAATTACTTGTTAAAGATAGCCATCTTAATGTAAAAAGTCACTGTTCACTTTTCACATTTGTTAACTTTTTCAGATCAATTTGCAATATTTTAAAAAGATACCCTTTAAAATGTAAACAGAATTCCAGATAACATGCATTAGTTATGTAATTTAGTTTCTGCTATTGGTAATTTAGGAATAATGAAGAGAGAGAGAGAGGGAGGGAGGGAGGGAGGGAGGGAGAGAGAGAGAGAGAGAGAGATAAATGAATGCCAGATGTGGAGAGAAAAATGAGAAAAAGAAAGCAACAAAACTAATGGAGCTTTAATCTCACTCTGTTCAAAAAATATATTCAGCAATATTTGTGGCTTACATCCCTATTTTCTTTTTCTTTCACCTTTTCATCTTGCCCCCCCCAAAGAAAACCCACTGAGTACTTCTATATGACACTCATATAAATAAGGCACAGTCTTTATCCTATGATCTACAGACAAGAGGTGTGAATTAAAAGTGTAATGGTCATTCCTCAAATGGAGGGCTAATCGCTAAAATGTATACAGAACTCAAAAAATTAGAGACCCAAAAATAAAAGACACAGTCAAAAATGAACAGTGAAATGAATAGACACTTCACAGAAGAAGTACAAATGGGCCATAAATACATGAAGAGATGCTCAACATCACCAGCCATTAGAGAAAGGCAAGTCAAAACAACATTGAGATTTCATCTTAACTCTGCAAGATTGGCCACCATCAAGAAATCAAATAATAACAAATGGTGATGAGATTGTGGAGATAAAGAAACCCTTCTACACTGTTGGTAGGAATGTGAACTAGTACACCCATTATAGAAATCAGTATGGAGGTTCCTCAAAAAACTAAAATTAAAAACTCCATCAGACCCAGATATTTCCTTTCTAGGTACCTGAAAGAGTTAGACATCGCCTTATAGTGATACATACATACCCATGTTTATAGCAGCACAATTCACAACAGCTAAATCTTGGAAGCCATCTATATGTCCATCAACAGACGAATGCATAAAGAAAATGTGGTACTTCCACCCAATGGAGTACTACTTTGCCATAAAGAAGATGCACCTTGAGACCATAAAGTTAAGTGAAATAAATCAGACACAGAAGCTGAATATGGCATGGTTTCTTTTATATGAGAAACCAAGTTATGAAGAGCAAAATAAAGGATAGAATGGGAAGTAGGGAGACAGGTCTTTCTTAAATGACCAGGTGATCAAGAGATGGAATGGGGAGGCGGAAGGAGAGGGAAGCGATGAAAAGAGGAAGTGAGACTTATTACGTGCAGGTGCCAACTCCACACAAGGAAGGCGAACACTAACATTGCAAACATGCACTAAAACAAAGAGAGTAGAAGCAGAACATCTGGAGATGCTCAAGTGCCAACACGGGGCACAAAAGGGCGACCTACACATGTCAGGGCTACCGTGAAAGGCTTCCTTAGGGTGACAGAACCTACACTTAGGAGCTGAATGGGGTGAGCCTCAGCAGAGGAGTGGCAGGACTGCCATCTTCCAGGCAGAGGGAACAGCACTGGGACAGGCACTGGCGAAGGTGGCCAGGGCATACAGTGGTGTGGTTGTGCTGTCATCTGCTGGTATTACCACCCACCCCCATGTGCCTTAATCTCTCAAGACAGAGAGCTGCTTCCTTCTATGGCATCTATGTGCAAACTAGAAAAAAACAGAGAGACTGTGGACCCCCGTGGGCACCCAGGCACAGCGCCAGGGAGAGTGGGCATGAAGCTCTCCTCAGATCCAAGCCCCCAGGCGCTGCTTCCCCCAGGGCTTCTGTGCAGCACAAAGTCGGCACAGTCACCACCAGCAGCCTCGTGGAACCTCAGGTGGAGTCAGGATTCTGCTGATGGTGCTGCCAGGGTGGAAGCAGCATCCTCCTTCTGTGATTGGTACCACCCCTGCTTTTTTCCGGGACCCGAGGGCAAAGGAGACACCAATACCAGTGGCAACTGTCATCTGCAGCATTATCTGAGGGTAGTCAGGTTTGGGCCACACCCAGATGTTCCAGATGCAGATATAGCTATACAGGATTTTTGAGTTGAAATTAAAAAGCAAAAGGTAGTTCCTCAGTGTCAAACAGGAATCAGGTGAATAAAATTATATGTGGGTTTTTTAAATTTCAGGCAACTAGGTCCAATTTCTTCTGTAGTCTCAGTGGGAGCTGTGGAAGTGATCATGATGGTGCCTCTCTCTCCTCACTTAGGGAGGAGTTATTGCCAAGTTGCCAGCAGAGACTGGGCGTGGTGTTGCACACCTGAAATCCCAGCACTCTCGGAGGCTGAGGCCTAGGGTTACAAATTCAAGCCCCATCTGGTCAACTTGTAGAAACTTAAGGAGATCCTGTCTGAAAATGAAACGTGAAAAAACATAGAAGGGAAAGGAGGAGAAGGAAGAGGAGGAGGAGGAAGAGGAGGAGGAGAAAAAGGAGAGGAGAGCAGAGAGGAGAGGAGAGGAAATCTGTAACTGAGGAGCAGACAGGCTTAAGGAATGCACCATATTCCCATATTTCAAGTTGTCCTGTGGAATTCACTGAGTAAACTTATCAGTCTTTATAAAAGTTTTTCTCCACGGTCCATGACATGTTGCTGAGAGTACTTATTCTGAAAATAACTACTTTCACTATGTTCTTAATTCTTCTTGATTCTCCAGTGCTAACCTTTTGCCCTTCAGGATGCTGTCTCTCCGCTTTTCCATTTTGTTCTCTGATTGTTCACACAACAAAAGCCAACAATCTTAGGAAAGTGTCATGATGCATAGCTGCTACCCTCACTCTGATTCTCTTCTTTCTCTCTTGTTAAATACTCCTCAGCTAAGCAGTGATATCTCAAAGGGGAAGGTGCCTTGGATCCAGATTAATATTTCCAAACTGTAACTAGCATTCTGCACTTGAGAGAGTATCAGTCATTATTTTGCTGTATTGACTTTTGCCATCCTCTAGTTTATTATTTTTCTTTAGTCCCTGTGATGGTTAACTTTAACTGTGTCAATTTGATTGGCTTAAGAAATGCCCAGGAGATTAGTAGAGCACATTATTCCATGTTCCGGGTGGTCAAGGAGGCGTGACTTTGAGTAATGTATGGTCCCTGGTCCCTTCCTCTCTGGCACTGTGCCCCTGCTCTGCTTCCTGGCCACCATGAACTAAGTAGCTTTGCTCCACCAGGCCCTTCTGCCATGGTATTTCTGCCCTGGAGCCAGCTGACCATAGACTGAACCCCCCTAAAATGTGAGCCAAATGAAACCTCTCCTGGTTTAAGTGGGGGGTGTCAGGTATTGTCTAGCAATTGGAAAGCTAATATACTCCGTCAATTCAAGAAGTGAGACCATCATGTAATGCATTCTTAAGTGAAGACATTTCATAGAGAAAGTGGAGAAACATAGGGAACTCCTAGATTTGGGGCTCTAGAAGTGATGATCCATGAATGTAGTACCTACCCTATAATCTTCCCCTGAACGAAAAATGGAAAGATACATGGAAAAGTGATTATAGTAGAAGTGGTGGTGAACGTGGAAAGAAAGTAGTGGAAAGAGTTGACAGATACAAAGAGAGAGGTAATCGGAATGAGGAACAGGTCAGCAGAAAGGCGCTGATATGCATTACTCGGCACTGGCTGGTTCTGCTGTGTTTCCCTTGGTTCACACTCATTTGCACACCCACCCACTACCCACAGCCATGCACGTGGGCCCCTTGGTATGGGGTATACTTTTTAGAACTTTGATTCAACATCACTAGTAGGGAAAGGTGAAAACTAAGTAGGCTGAGGCCATGTTTCCAAGCTCACACATTTCCTACAAATAGAGAATGAGGTTCGAAATAGAAACTAATTTGAGGTAAGTAGGACAATATTATGATTATTGTCTACCTGAGCTACAGTCTGAGACATATTCATGCTATATAATAAAAGGGGAAGATTTAAGGCCACATGTATAGGGAATGCTATGCTAAGCAAATTCATCAGATTTCTTCACAGGACAAGCTGAAACTTTTAACTAATGGATACTTCTCAAACTTACGCAGTCACAGAAATCCAGTTTTAAAATGCCAATTGTGTGGAAATGGTGTGCATTGTGATCACACAAATTACTTCAACAATGGTTTGACTGAGAGATTTTTAGTCCAAACAGAACTTTCTCACCTTTCCAACGTGTACCTCTCAAAAATGTTTTCGCTAATATTTTTATTTACCTAATGGACTTTTGGCTCACCTAAATATGCTGAAATTTTAAATCCTGAAGATTCCTAGGAGATCCTAATCCAAACTCTTGCTAGAAAAGGATAATATCCTTCATCTATGTAATCTTAGCTGCCAATTTTTTCTTTATTGCTGAAAAGCTTGAGTTGGAGAGGAGATATGCCATTTGCTACCCTGCATGTCTATCTTTCTATCTTCTTTTGAATTGCATGAATACAGATTTTAGACAGGAAATCATGCTTCCTGTCAGGTATTTCTTTCCTTGGTGAGTTTTTATCGCTCAGTTAGAATTCTCTCCAGAACAGGTGACCAATCTCACCGGTAATACCTACCTGAGAGGTGAGCTGCTGGAGGGAGGGATAGCACCATGCATCTGTTTATCTCCAGTGCATAGCTCTGTCCATGGTGGCTGCGAAGCAGGTATTTGTTAAATAAGATGCAGCCTTTTGAATGGTACATGGTCCGGAAACTATTATGTAATATGCACATGGAGGAAAGTAATGGAAACAAATCAGAGCTTATGCTCACCTAGCTAAGTGTATTTAATGGTCCTGCATGAGAGAGCAGCTGTCAGTTTTCGGTTGCTAAAAACAGTTGCCTATAGTGAGCTTGAGGAGGAGTGGTGTAGACACTTGATATAAATCTGTCTTGGGAATGATATGCTCTGCTATGATAATAAGACTCTAATAAGTAATGTACACATGCTTCTCTTTACAAAAACACAGTTAAAGGCTTCCAGTTTCTCAATTACAAATAAATCCTTCTAATTCCACTCCTTTTGCTCCATTGCTGATTTAGAGATGCTACCATATTCACAGATAGTATTTACTGCTGGTAGAGGCTGTCACAGGCACTTTGTCTGCTGAATGCTAGTAGCTAGCTAAATTCTCTCTGGGTGGTTGACTTCTGCCTCATTAACTTCATGCACCCTAGTTGAAATAGGCATGATGACTGCCAAGGAGACCAGAAAAACAGGCGGAAGTAGGCCTGTTTGTGGTTACCTTGGTAATGAGCAGTGAAGGCCCCTATGGTCCCCAGTGATGGCAGCAAAGGGGACTGTTTTCAGTGCTAAACCAGAGAAAGGTTGTTATTTTCCACAATAGTACAGTATATCAAAGGGGGAGCTGGTACCATTTTATATGGAGGTGGGGTATATGGTAAAGCCATTCCTTCAAAACTATCTCAAGAAGAAATAGAATTACACAAATTATGTTCCACTGCACAGCAAATCAACGAAATCAACAGGAATTTAAATACTGGTGTAGGAATCATTCCAAGAGACTATAAATCATAGTAATACACTATATTTTGTTTCTCTTTTCAAATGTATTTAAAGTAAATTATGGGACCACTTTCTGAACTATGAATTAAGAATATAAGTCACATTTTGAGGACAAAAAGCTAATTATGAAAAATAAATGATGCCAATGGTAGACAGTAAGATAAATCTTGAAGTGCACCACTTTCCACTTGAGCAATACTTTTTAGAAAGATTGTAGGTTAATGCTTAACCTTTACGATTAAAACATTAATCAGATATTCTCTGAGTGAATGAAGATTTATAGAGCAATTGCTGGAGAATAAATAAACTATAAAAATATAATGCATTGGTTTGACTAGTGTGATAAAAAAAGCTTCATTTCATTGAGATTGGATCCCTTTCTGGGGTAGAGTAGTGGATGATGATGCCTGTGCTTTTATAACTCCCAGGGAGAAAGTCATCTTGCAAGACGGGGTAATGCATGCTTACCTCTCACAGCGTGGTCCTGTGTACCCAACCGGGCATTCGTCACAGATCAGCCCAAGACTCCGGTCTAAGTGGCAGATCGGGCTAAAGCTATGATGATGTTGGGAAACAACAGGAACAAGGAGAAAGCACATAGACAAAGTCATTTGCAGCATATGTACACTCTCTTTCTTCACTCCTGCTATGGCAAAATGGTCCAGAGCAGCGATTCTTGTCACACACATAGAGATTGGGGTCTGGCCAGCGGAGGATGAAATGACTTCGCTATTTCTGCAGGCATGGGCACAGCCCAGAGAACAGCAGTACCCCTATGACATGGTGGTAGCTGGCTGTTGGCTATTCTGGGTCTGGGGTCATTGGTGACAAGAGCGAATATCCAGCTGCTTATAGGGACTCCATAGGCCTGACCAAACACAGCCTCATAAACCTTCTCTCTGGCTAAATCTCACTGAAGTAGAAGCAGCCTTGAAAAAATGGAGCAGTTGTGGGAAATTCAGGATACAGCAGTGGCTGTAGCAGCAGCAGGGGGACTGTCCAGTCCCCTGCACGGGGTGTGTGTGTATAGCTCTTGTGTCTTCTTCCTCACAGACAGGCTGCTACACTGATCAGGACACATTCAGAAGAGACTGGAGCCCCATTCTACATAAGCATATGATAAAACCAAAGAAAACAACGTCAACATTTACAAAATTTGCCTCTCTTTGAATACATTTCTGATTGGCGTCTGAAGTAACAGAGCTGGAGTCTTCTGCTAGATTCACTTCTCCTGGGCCTGGCAGAGGCACCCTCCTGCTTCAAGCTCACCCCAGATGGGCACCTTGGCATGGGGCTGTGGCTGGCTCCCACAAGAGCCCTTAGCTATTTTGAATTCTGTGACTTCTGCTGATTTCCAATTTTTGAAAATGTCTCTTTGAGATACATAAAAATGGTGGCTATGAATGGGGTGAGATGTAATATCTTATAGTGCACATTGTATAATGTTTAAATTATGTTAAGCATCTCCATTTCCTAAAGTATTTATTATTTCCTTATGGGGAAAACTTGTGAAATCCACTCTTCCACATTTTTTAATGGGCAGCATGTTGTTGTTATTTATAGCAACCCTACTACACAACAGCACACCGGAACTTCTTGTTCTCCGTTAACTCAGTGCCATTGACCACCCCTACCCCATCCACTATGACTCTCTCCAGTCTCTCCAACACTCTATCGATGTTTTTACATTCTATATTGCTCTACGATTTTAAAGGCAAATGTCCTCAATTAATCTTTCACCTATTATGTTTTCCCAAATAGATTTATTTTCTATTATATATGACAGCACAATTCAGTAGAGGCTTGTTTGATGGCTAAATGAATTAAAGGGAGAACAACAAATTAAATACCACACATCCCCATCTTGTTCTGCTCCTAACACTTACATGACTTTGGAATTTTTTTTAACTTTGGTGCAGGTCAGATCATGGATATTAATTTTGAACAATATTATTCTAGCCTAACTCATAGTAGTCCCATAAAAATTTGATAATTTATATTTTCTTCATAATGCAAAGCTACTAGAATCAAGTAGACCCATTATTTGAAGGATTCGATTCAGCAGCAATATAAATGAAATCTACTGGGTCGGGGAGAAAACCTGGTCTAGGTTAACTTGAGTTTATAACTATTATGCAGGTAAAGGGTCCCACATTATGGGGTTCTGGTGGCTGCTCTGGGCACCCAGCCTAGGATCTGTCCCTGCCACACATGACTGCAAGAGGCCCCACATGGGTAACCACCTCGGCAGATGGGTGTTGGCACTGAAGGGGCACATGTCTAAATGGAAAGAGATGAGGTTTTATCCCACCCTTAAAAGTGCTTTGTTATTGTTTGCAAACACAAAGAAGTACCTAGATTTTGACAAATCTCTGCAGTTCATGCCTGTCTTGTTTGGAAATCGGCATCCTATAACCATCTCAACATCTATGGAGAAAGGGACTCCGACTGGAAACCTGAAGTTTGCCACCCTGTGGCAAACACTTCCCAGTTATATTTTAGACTTCTAAATCAGTCCACCGTAAGACATGTCAGGGGCGATTGACAAGGCTTCTGACACTTTAAAACTATTTAGAAAATTGATTTTAAATTCTTATAAAACACTTACCTGTCATTTAAAACCAACAGAATTCAAATAAAATGTGCTCCCTGACAAAAATCATTACTTTTTTTTTCAGGAAAAACTTAAGCAATAACACTATATTAGATTTGACTAAGTCTTTGCAGAACACACAATTCTATGAGCCGGTTGAGGCATGCATAATTTTTCTTTTCCAAAGTCATAAACTAATTCTCAGGAGAATTTAGCATGGGGTCCAGGACTTAAGATTCTCAAATTGATACTGTCTTCTCCATATAACCAATTATCACTCAAACCCACTCGTGAGAACTACGTGAGTTTAATACAAATGCTCGGTATCATGCGTCCAAGTACAATCACCTCTTGAGAAATACCTGAATTCATGCTTTGAAATTCTTTAAATAACATAAACAGAAGATCCACTCCTTTACTGCTGTTACAGCTATGGCAGAAGATGGCATTCAACAACAAGAATAAAATCAGAATGGAGAATGAACACGCAATACAAAAAATTCCTACAGAATTTGTATTGGCAAATGTAGTAATTTAGCATTGCTTTTGGCTGAAACAGAAATCTAGCTATTCTGTGATCCAGAGAGTAAGTTCATTGCCGATTTCAAGTGATTTCATGGTTGTGACACTGAACACTATTTGGCTCACTCAACACCAGCTGAGAGAATGTTTTGTTTCCTGGATGATTCAGCTCATGCTGAAGGCACAGGAGAGTTAAGAATAGCAATCATTTCTCACAAACATGGGAAAGAAGGGAAACTGTTGCTGGAATAATTGGTAAGGATCTGTATATGCACAGTTTCTACTAATGACCAAGCATAGATATTTACATAACGTAGCTTTTTACACGTCTTTTACTTGCTCACTCTCTCCCTCTTCTGTTTCTTTTTGTCTCTCTCTATATAAATATGGTTATGTAAGTGAACGCATGTATATGTGTTCATATAAGTGAATACATACACATAGCTAAAATTAGCTTTCTTCAAAAAATTTAAATTTATCTCATCTTGGTTGCAGTTATAAATACTAATTTTAACAGCAATAATTCAATATATCCTTTTGAGAGAGTCCAAAGGCCAGCTCTAGAATGTTCATTTCTTTACAAACTAAACTTTTGGCTTCCTGATGCACATAAAGCAGTCGTACTGAGAACCAGAGTGGTGGATAGAGCTCACTGAAGGCCTTCTTCTCACCTAGCCCTGTTCCGAGACTCTCTCTAGCTTTATCACATAACTGATGAAAGCTATAACATTGTCTATTCAAATACATCCTAAATATCTGAGGGCAGACACTCATGTGTCTCTTTCAGGTCTTATTTAAACAATAATCTACATGATACTGAAAATTAATGACTGTAAAGCATTTGATATTTACAATTTTATTTGCTTCTCTAGAGAAGCAAACGTAAATTTCACTACATTGTTAGAATCTTTAGCTAGAATATATACATCACTAAGATGAAAGGTCAAGCAAACAGTGGATACCGTAAGTAGTTGAAGTTGATATATATGTATAATTTAAATATAATATGCTTGTCTGTATTCATACATCATAATAATTATAACAGTCTATCTCTATCTCCCAACACACTTGATTTATTTAGCAATATTATCTAAGAAATTTGGAGCCAAAATGCTTGTGATCTATAAGATTTATGACCAGGGATTAAATAGATAAATCACCAAGGTTAAGCTATCACTGAGCCTTAGACTTCAGATGAAGGTTGCATCAACCTTTACTTCTTTTTCTTTCTTTTTTGCCCCTGAATAACCTGTAGAAATTCAAATTCCTTTTTTTGGATTATATGTGAATATTCAGTTTATGCCTCTGAGTTCCTAACTCAGATTAAAACAGTAGTTACAAAAAAAAACATTTTTAAAAGGATAGTTTCCCTAGGTCACTGTTTAATGATTTTTTTCATGAAAATATATAGGTAGCTACATTAAAATGAATTTTTCACATCACATTTGTGCAGATAAACTATGATAATTTTCTACTGTTTTCACTGTGAAAGACTGTATGATTCTAACCACAAAATTTAAAGGACTTACAAACTAACTGGATTATCACAGATTCTTTTTCTGCTTAAGAAATACCACAATTAAATCTAGAATCTAAAAAAGCTACTATTCACATCCCAGTTGTACTACTAAAAATAAAATTATTTAGTTATTTAATAATTATTTACTGTAATTTGAAAACCTCTTATAATTGAATAATCTCTAAATGCTTGATGTTACTGGTATTATTATTGTGTGGTTTTAGTTGTTAAAAAAATCAACATTAGTATAATTAAACTGAATTGCAACACATATGTTTTAGGAAATATCATCAGTGGATTCGGGGGCCCAAATCCCTTTTTCAAAGACCAATGGTGCTTTATTGTTTGCTGAATTTATTTTTTATTCAGAAACAACACAAGTAGAATCCATTACCCAGTAGAAACACAGCAAATATACAGGGAAGAATGGATCATATGTGCCTATAATTACTAAAGCAAGGTACTTTCTCCAATGGCCTCTCTCCATTTATGTTGGTCAATCTTCATGAGAAACCCATAGGGTCTATGTATTCAATCGATTATTTTACAGATGTATTAGGTTAGGATTCACCCAATGAATGGTCAGCTCTACTGAACTGAGGGCTATGCTGATGCTGACAACTTTTTGGCAGAGAAGGAGATGAGAAGTGCTGAGAAAGAACCCTCAGGTACATGCCCTCCGCTCTTCTCCGTGGAGATGCGTACAGAACAATGCATTTCAAGTGTCCCGGATGCTTTGGAGAATGCCCCTCAGCCATAGTGACTGAAGGGCTTCTGCAAGTGTGACCTAGTGCTGCATTTGAGCAACCCATAGCAAGTGTTGAGTCATATTAAACAAGACCTGGCTGAGTAACCATTCATTATGAAGGCATTTATTACATTTCTTGTCTTACTGATTTTCCAGTAGCTTCCCCTCTTCCCTTCTTCTTCAAAAGCCAAAAGGCCTTCCGTTCTGTGCCTGTCTGTGCTGGTGCTTCAAGCTCTGGCGATGTCCTGGTCACTAACACACATTAAACCAATTTCTCACTTTCTTGGTGTCTTGCTAAATAACACCACTTACCTGGTAAATAAATTCATCACTTTTAGGGTTAACACTTGAAATTCAGGGTGTAGTGTTTGAAAGCCCTCGCTGTATACTGCAGAGGACTGGGAAGCACATGGGCGATAAAGTTAAATTCCAATTTGATATGATTACGCGATGACTCCTGAGCAAGTTACTGAATAATCAGCCCACAGTTCACCATATCCCATCACTGTTTTAGGTGCGTCGCTTATTTTAATTATGTAATTTTCACAACAGCTCCATGAGAAGTCCAATGATCATGACTGATGGTGAGTTGAAGTAATTTGCCAAGAGACAGGCAGCTAAAAAGTATGGGACTCCACATCTGAACTAGAATTGGTACCACAATGCTATATCTCCACTCAAAGGATTCATTTAAAAATCTGTAAAATGCGGGCAATATTATCTTCATGATGAAATAATTTTTAAGATTAATTAACAAAATCTAGTGCTCGGCCTAATGCCTAGAATATTGTAGGCTTCTTTCATTAAATATTAGTACTTTCCTCTTCATTTCCAAACTGTGAGTAAGGAGGAAAACTCTGAAGAGCTGAGTAGTTGGAGACAAGCACAAAGATTTTGTGTAGGCTGAGTGGTAGGAAGTTTTAAACTTAATGATATAATTGTTTTTAAGATCTTTAGCTGTAGTGGTCACTGAATCTACTAACAAAAGACCATTTTAATTAGGAGCATCTTGGGGAAGATCTCAAGGTACGATCCACTTGGTTGAGTCTTCATATTAAAAGACCATAGTAGAGATTTCATTTTAAAAATTATTTAAGTTCTCTGCAAACATTATCATTTGTTTAGAAAAACAGCTGGCATAATAGACAAACAGCATAGCATAAATAAGAACTTTACTAAGCACTGAGTTGTCCTTTAAGAGGGTTCTCCAAAAAATAAATTTGTTTCATTTAAAACTATAGTTAGAGTTAGGTGCTTAGCATGTCTGAGGTCTTGAGTTTCAATCTCCAGCATCACAAATTACAACTAACTAAATAAAATTATAGTCATGTAAAATTATTCATTAATAAAATTGTTGATCTTTTAACCGCAGTATGCCTTATTTTAAAAATTTGGCTTCAGAGTCTATCTATAGATGGCTTTACTTTTGTAAATTTAAGTTACTAAAATAGAGGACTCCCCAAAATATGAGAAGAGGGTAAAAGGTAAAGTGAAGAGGCAGTTAAAGTATATTTTAAAGTCTGTTTCAAAGATTATAGCTCTAGGACTGCATAAATAACTACAAAAAAATACCTAAAAAGAAACTGTATGAAATTTGCATTAAACTTTCACTATATATATGGTTTATAAAAGTTATAAGAAAGTATCATTCATAGTTCGATACTCATAAAGTCATGAAATAATATGTGTCATTAAATAATTTTAAAAGATACATATATGTGTATATGAGAAAAATTATCTGAGAATTCAGGGACAGGTGTAAGTTGGATGAATTCCTTCATTTTATCTTTTGAGAGGTTTACGGCTTTTCCAAGATTTACAAATCAATAGGGTGAAGTATAAAACCAAATGATCATATGTGTGCTCTTTGGAAATAGTTTAGAAATTAAAATTGGGTTCTAACTTTTTGCTATTAAATAATCAAAACTAGAGCCAAAACATTAAAAATCCTTAGAAATAAAGTCGCAACTTTAAAGATTTTACATTTAAAAACATCATATCACCGTCCTGAAATTTTCCTGTATCTATTTACTGCCTATTTATGTTGGGCATGAGAAAGGGTACCTTTGATATCAAAAGTGCACTTTTAAGACTGGCTGCCAAACTCCTCAGTGTGGCAGGTTTGTTACTTACTTATTGGATGGGGCATTGAGTGGACAGGCACAGGGCTGGCAGTCTTCAGAGGTCCCTTGGGTAGGATCACCATAGAAACCAGGAAGACACAGATTGCAGTAGGGCCCACCTGTGTGACCCTTGCAGTTCTGAGGAAAAATTGCACACCAGAGTTCATTATTTTAGACTCAAGCAGTAACATGTGGCCAAAAATAGGTCTACAAAATCATTAGTCTGTTCTCTGCCAGGAAGAGCAATTTTTTCACATTAAATGGTCAATTTTACAACAGGGAAATGGCATTGAAAGTTGCTTTAATATCTAGCTTATGAACTACATAATGGTTTCAACATATGCATTGTTACACGAAGATGACTAAAATTTATTATAATTTTTATTATGCAAATTTTATTTCCTTTTATATTCTTATGGGAATGTTAGTGCATGTGTGTGTTATGTGTGTGTGTGATGTATAGTCATAGATCTCGAATGACATATGTTTAATGGAAAATGTAGCTAAGTCTAGGTAAAAATCAATTGCACAACTTAAAACTGCTGATTTAATGAGAACTGTAGCTAATCATACAAATCCCCCAGGACTGTGCCCTCGTAGTTCAGACATTAATTTTGAATTTGGTGGATGCTGATGGTCTGGACAATGCTTTGCTATATCACATCTGGGAGAACTTCGCTTGAATAATAATTAAAGGTAGAGAAAATTGAAAAAAAATTTAAACAAGACGTGGATAATGAAATCACAAGGCACCTATCAATTTTCCTCAGATATTTTTAAAATAAAATTTAAATGACATTTTTCACTAATTAATATTTTTGGAGCCATGTCTTTTTCAAAACTTAAAATACAATAATTTTCATCTTGATTGCTTCATATTAATTAAAATCTATTCCTAAGCTCAGACTGTATTCATAAAACCCAAGACTGGTATATAGGTGAATAATTCAGTTAATGAAATAATACACGTATCTCTAAACCTTCCAATAACACAATGATAAAATTTGCTTTTGTTTTGTTATCAGGTGTACATAATTTCAGTCTCCAATGATGCAACAGAGAATATATATAATTTCTATTAAAAACTATACTCTAGAGATTCACTGTTGCTGAATTATATTTTAAAATGAATGAGTATATAAAGTTGTAACTTTTCCTTATATTGAATAGAATTCATCAGAAATCAAGAATGTGTAGCCTTCATCTTTATGTTCAATAAAAAATTTGTGAAATAAATAGCTAAAATATAAATTGACATTAAACATAGGTAGAAAGTTTACACAACTAGATGACCACTGGAACAGTTAGATTAAAATAATGAAAATCCCAAACTATTTATTTTAGTATACTTTTAAAAAATCATCATTTTCAATTATATTTAACAAGTAGACTCAGTAAAAAATAAAGACACACTTTTTGACATAGCATTTTAACTGTCTTAGAGAAGTCAGATTTATTTGCAGGTGAAAGAAATCTAGATTATAATCCAATCCTTAACTCTGAACCTGCCACTTTCATTCTAATTTTGACTAAAGAAGCTAAAGTTGATAATTTAGGATGTTTTCAAGCTCTGGTATCCCATGCCAACTTCACCAACTACAAGTTGAAAGATATTTCTATTAGTAACTCATAATATTTGGTGTTTTTCTTTATTTTAAATTTTTAAAATATTTATTTAGCAAAACTTTCTAAAAGATAGTATAGATGTTAACTTCACTATTAGCAGTTGTCAAAGTAACAGCATATTGGGAACTAATATATAAAACATGGATCAATTTAGGAAAAATTTTTACCCTTTGGATCTTTATGTCACTTCCTCTCACTTTCCAAGTTCAGCTAACTTCATCTATTACCAAAAAATTGTTTGGTTTTTGAAAAATTATTTTCATATTGTCATGATGACATAAAGGAAATTATACTGTCAACAACTTAGGGGATTTAAAGATTAGGATCAGAAAATTGACTATGCCTGACCAAATGAAAAATTGGATTTCTAACTCATCTGAAAATCTTGTAAAGCTCAGGGAGGGTACTTTTCTTTACTCATTAGAAGAAAAACAAATTCAGTAAATTTTTCATACTATTTCATTTTATCTTCATTAAATGGAAACAAAAATACAATCTAAAAGCCCAAGGTTTTTTTTTGGTTTTGGGGATTTTTTTTTTTTTTTTTTTTTTTTGCAACTGGAACTATAAAGCAGCATTGCATAATCAATACAATTGAAATCAACACTGAAACAGATGGAAGTTTTAGTCTGATAAGGTGGTTAAGTTTACAGGTAACTTGCTGGAAAGGTGCCTCTCAAATGATTGTTCCCATCATGGACCTCAACAATGTGGATCATGCAATTTTCCTTTGTGGATTTAAATGTTTCCTGGGTTGGTTCAAATTTATTTTGAGTAAAAGTGACTTATACAGCAGAATTTTGTTCTGATGTCAAACATGTATCTCAGTTAATTTAAAATCAGATTTTTAAAAAGCCAAGCTAGACCAAAAATCAACTTCTCTGTAAATTTCATAAATTATCTCTTTAATAATTAAAAATTCTTATCCTGCCACTCCCAGCCCAGAGGTAGGGGCTTCTGAGCCCCAGCCCCACTGCTCCTAATCCAGAGGAGGGGGCTTCTGGGCCACCATCCCTCCCACCACTCCCAGCCCAGAGGAAAGGGCTTTGGGGCCACCCATCCATCCCGCCTCTCCCAGCACAGAGGAAGGGGCTTCCAGGCCACCATCCCTCTAGCCTCTCCTGGCCCCTGTCCCAACTCTCCCAGCTTAGAGGAGGTGAGCCGCGTGGGTGCCAAGAGCACCCTCCCCACCAGTTGAAATGAGAAGACATGTAAATAAGTCTCAAAACCAGACTTCCAGATCACCTACAGCAACACCAAAGGGAAATGAGATGGAACACTCTGATACTCAACCA